ACCAACACTTTGAGGCACAGTGAAATACACAATATCATCGTCATGGACACAGTCAAACCAATCAGGAATATCATTTCCACTGAGAAAAATGCCACCATATCCGCAAGAAGTCCATCCCTATACCATGTAGAGCCAAATTTCTATAAGAAATACATTCTTATGCATGCATGTGTACATTCTTATGCGTTGTATGAGACAATATTAAAAAGTAATGCACAATTGTACCTTAAATAGTATACAAAAGTCTTGAATGATATAGAAAAGTCTAGAATTTTAATGAATGTGCAAACCGACTTAACAAATGAGGATCCGGATCATGACTTCATGACTTCGTCCCATTCTAATTAGCTCCTCCAGAAAAATCCAGATTTTCCATGACAGACAATGACAAAAAATCCCGATTTGTTTCCAAATCATACAAATGAGGATCCGGATTATCCATATTTTCCTTCATGACTTTGTCCCATTCTAATTGTTTATCTACAGCACCCGATTGATTAGTGCGGACAAATGCGCCATGGCTCCGTCCTGCCCCATCATTAGCTCCTCCAGAAAAGTCCAGATTTTCCATGATAGACAATGACAAACGAGTACATAGATCGCCATGGCCGAGAGGATCGTCTTCCACTGCTGATTCTTCATCTATAGCACTCACTTGATCACCGGGAACAGATGCGTCATGGCTTGGTCTTGCCTCATCATCAGTTCCCCCCAAAAAATCCAGATATGGCCCCACTGCCAAAAAATCCCGATTTGTTTCCCAATAATACAAATGAGGATCCGATTTACTTTCCTTCATGACTTTGTCCCATTCTAGATGAACCCCTGTCTTCTTCACTCTCACTAAATCAACATAATTAGGACTTACAAGAATCGATACGTGGTCACCGCCATCCAAATGGAGCACATCGTTTGACAATTGTCCCTGCCAAAGATAATGGTCTTCAGGTTCACTGTATCTGTTGGGTCTTACCGAGGCAAATGCTGTCCGGGTGTGCAAAGCAGTTTGTTTGGTAAGATTTCTAACGATAATGCTAATAAGACCTTCTAGAGAATCTTCAAATTCCGGATAACGCGAATAAGACTTGCTTGAGCAAACGAAGCATATAGTCAACCCTTTTAAATCACGACCCGTGATTATTTGAGGAACTTCAAAGCAGACGATATTGTCCACATCATTGACGATTTTGAACCACTCAGGAATATCATAAATTCCATTCATATAAATTCCACCAAATCCGCAAGAACTCCATCTCTGCACACCAGAAGCAAGACATTCTTATACATGCATGCATATATCATTATATATGGGCCGCATCTGCAGCTGTGCCTCTGTGTTTGTGTGTGTGTGTGTGTGTGTGTGAGAGAGAGAGAGAGAGAGAGAGAGAGAGAGAGAGAGAGAGAGA